CGGGCGAGTGTGGAAGAAGCAGGCAGCCATAGCCACGCTGCCTGCTGTAAGCTGGGTTGGGCGCAGGTTGGTCCTTGGGTGCTAGGGGCATCTGTGCGGTGAGGTTCGGGGTTGAGAGCGAAGCGGGAGTCATACCTGGTGCTTGAGGCGAGCGGCATTGGCCGCATATGCTCGTACCTCGGTGAAGCTGTTGACGTCAACTTCGGCATTGTAGTAGTAGGCTAGATAGGATCTGCCATCTTGTAGTATGGGCGCCGAGCGCCAATAGGATACCAACTCTTGTTCTTCATTGATGATGATGAGAGACAATTTCAGCATTGTCAATTGTGAACTATTGCTGTGTTCTTATTTGGTATAACTCGTGATGCCTTTCTGCTTATGGTTCGAGGTCATGGCTATTTGGTCACTCATGTATGATGCTGTTTGAGTTCTGGAATTCGCTATTGCTCATCTTCCTTGCATATATAAGACTTTATAAGTAGAGCCCCTGCACTGCTCCGCCTCGTTTATCAGCGCAGGCCATAAAATATATTTCGTTAGGTAAAACAATACTGTACCAGGCAGTGTCAATTGTATGACTGTTCCCAAACATGTTAAGAAGAAGCACCATAGAATGTTGGTGAAAAAGTTTAAATGGGCAAAAGAAGAGTCAACATGGACCTCTCAGTTCTTTTTTAGACAACTTGTGCGGCCTAGCTCTTCGTGGAACCTTGACTGGCTACCTAAGCGGGACTGCCAAGCCTCAAAGGTCTGGGGCTGGTCTCCCCATCAGCGGTAATTGTGCAGCCATAATGTTCTTTATGCACGGACAACAGAACGAAAGCGAGGTGCCATGTACCCACAATCTGCATTTTTGACCATTCACCTTCATAGTGTGTGAATTGTCTGTGACTCAAACAGATGACTCTATCTCCATCGCTGGTATCAAGAAAAACGTTGGAAGCGAAAAATCGGACTCCATTCACTCCCACGGAATAAGGGATCAGGTTTTCCTCAGGAGCTTGGTCAGTGCCAATAGTCCCAACTCAAGGAATCGATAATAATCTCTCTCTCTCTCTCTCTCTCTCCACCTGTTACTTGTTCTTCCCTCTCTCTCCGGCGCACACATATGTCTCTGTTGTTGAACATCGGACAAAGGTTAGGTGCAGTACAATGTGGCCCAGGAGTTCTTAAGTGTTTTTGTTGTACATCGCAGTGCAGTACAATGTGGCCCGGGAGTTTGGCACACCGAAGTGTGGGCCTGCAGTTTGGACATACACGCAAGCCACATAAGTATGCCCAGTGCAGCTACACCTGCATTTCAAGAATCAATATCATCTCATATCTCTGAAGGAAACAGTGTATCTCGCTATGTAGGGAGAAGACACTTATGCAACATCCCGTGCCTGTGAAACACTGAGAAAACACATACACACACACACACACACACACACACACACACACACACACACACAATCTGGTATGTATATACCTTTTCACTCCCCTTCACCCCAGATTTCATCACCTGCATTCCCCCTCCTCTCTCTTGCCTGTGCCCTCCCACACTTAATCACACTTGGAGTTGTACCAGCTCATCCGTAGGCTGAATCCTCTACAGACTACAGAGTCCCCTAACCGATTATACTGTAAGTGATAAGCATCAACAATTGCCAAGCATATATATTGTCACATAACTATGAACTAAAAGAGCGCACTTTGCGGAACAAAGAATAAAAGCAAAAAACGGGCACAGTGATAACATGCAAAAAAAAAAAAAAAAAAAAAAA